GCAAAATTTAACTTCTTTACCAATTTTTGATACATATACAAGTTATGAGAAGAACATGACATGAAAATAACCAAATTGTTTATATTCATGCAACCGTATTACTTTCATGCACTTGTAGCATAAAAAATGTATAGAACGCGTGAAATTCAGTCAAGAAAATTTAAAATCAGGCTCATATAATCTTTCATTCTTGGTAATTTGGTGCATTTTATTGCCAGAAGCGTTTGCATGATTTTAATAAATCTTGCTCAACCAAAGACCCGGGTTGGGATCAGAACTTTTCACAGGAACAGTTTGATTATGTTAATGAAATCATCTTCGATTAAGATAAATTAATTAGTAATCAATAACTCTTAATTATCCTTTGGCACAATTAAATCAATATCCTTTTGCTAATCATCAAGGTTAATCCAGTTAAGGTTGGAGCTTAATCCATTTTTTATTATTACTCTGATTTGGCTTAACCAGTTTTCTGGTTTTCGGTAAGTGGTTAGTTAATCACTTTCATGGTTGGTTTAATCTAGAATGTAATTTACTTAATTTAGTTGGTTAAATGTTACTCGTTTGTTGGTAAATAATTAACTGTGTTAAACTTGAAGCGATTCAAATTAACCACCAACATCCCAAATTTGATTGTGAAAAAGTTTTAAACAACAACAAATCAATTGGGTCTCTAAATTGTGATTAACTTACTTACTATTAATTTTGCCGTTTCTCATGTTGATTTACTAATTATATAACTAATTGTTGATTCAAGTTTCTATTTCCTGGCATAATCAGTTAATCCAATCACTTTTAACCACAAGGTAATCATATTAATTAGCGGAAATTGAATTTCTAGATTTCAATCAATATCTTTATTATCAATGATTAAGCTTTTCTTTTGATTATGTTTATGATTAACTTAAACAATTTTCATGGTTAATTTAAATTGGTTGGTTAGTTTAATCATAGAAATTAAAATGTACGTTAAAGTTTAATTGTCAACTCCACGGATGCCCAACAATTAATAATCAATTTAACTTTCAACATTAAATATTACAAACAATTTGATTTGATTGATTAAATTTACTTTTAACAAAGTTTTATAATTATGCTTGAATGGGTAAGAAAACTAAATTAATTGTTGATTAAACAATCTAATTTTCTGTATAAAGACAATTGTCAAGATGACAAGTTAATTGTTTGTCAAGAAAAAGCAATTAGTCTAGAAAAGAAGCAAAAAGTGACAACAATTAAGATGCCAAATTGTTACAATTTAATCGGTGATTGATTTACTAAATAAATAATTGATTATCTTGATATTAAATTGCTTCTATCAGAGATGGTAATTAATTACCTGACCATTGGTCATCTCCTTTTCTGGATCCTTTGTAACGGTCAAGCATCTAACTTGTTATCCTTTCATTTTGTTTCTTTATTTGTTAATCATAATTAAGCAATGGTCATCATCAAGGTTTACTCAATTGACCCTTGATGATTTTTAGATCAGGTCAAATCCAATTCCCCGGTGGGACATTCATGTATGTGTACACATCTTCATCTTGATTTCATGAATAAGATTGACAACATGATTAAAATTGATTGGACACACAATCAATTTAATATTATATATTTAATCTGAAATCACTTTTCCCAATATTGTTTCCACTTTCATGGTGATGTCTTTTTCATGTATTCCCATGATCATGATGACCACTACTATCATCATAAACTCAAACTGGACATTATGTTGACCTTTACAGCAAAAAAATTGAACCTCAAACCATTTTTTTCATGGTTCCAATATGAAACCTTTTCTTTTTACCATCATCATTATTATTATTAACTTGTCCTAGTTTTTATCTGACTTTTTTTTTCATCATCTTCATGATGATCACCATGAATTTGAAAATCTCAACAAGATGAACTCAATGAACCCAAATAACCAATGAAATTATATTCAGAAACTCATATATATGCTCCATGATTGAATATTGAAATTGGAAATTTCCTTTTACCCAATAATAGTGTAGATATGAGACTAGGAAACTTTCATCTGAGAATCTCTTGAAATGCCCTTAGGCAATTCTTAATCAGCTGTTATTGATGATAACTCGACAATGCCAAAGGTTGAATAAAGTAAAGAAAAGTAAAGTTCCAATTCTCAATTCTAATGATATCTTAGCATTATCTTTTCAGTTTCCATTTCATGATAATCATGATGAACTCTCAATTTAATATTAACATTCAGATATCATAATCTAAATTGTACAATGTTAATTTGATCATTGTGTCAACTATAAAACCAAATCAATTGATTTGCCTGAGGATATAATCAAATTACTGAGCATTGATAATATCAACTTGGTGGTTAAATTTTCCCAATCAAATGAAATCATGTCCATTTGTTAAATATAAATGATTATCAATTGAAACAATTTAATAGGAATCATTATCATGTTTACCTGATTAACTGCTTGCAATTGAAAATTATCAATTTGAAACTCTTTCTCAATGTTGTTATTAACATGATAGTTAATTATCTTCAACCATGATAATTGTTTTTCTCTCAATCCAAAATTGATCATCACAATTAACTACATGGTAATCATAATCAATGAACAATTAAACCTGTCAAACTGTGTCTAAGTTTCTTGTTAAATTGTTACCCAATCAATTTCAATGTAAATTTGTTGTTCACATGAAATTAACAAACTTAATTTCCCTTTTGTTTTTTTTTTCTTAAATTATCATGATAATCAAATATGATTAATGAAATTACATGTGATAATTACCTAGCAATTAGTTGATTATTTCATCATTTAAATTTAGAAGAAAAAATCCTTAAAACTATCAATTGATTAATCACTTTGTAAACTGTTGTGATTAAATTGATATGAAAAGAAAACCATTAACTAATGTTGTTGATAATTTAATAACAATCTGATAATAATTATGATGATGATGATGATGATGATCGAGATGATAATAGAATATCAAAATAAGAACTTGTTCTTTTTGTCGAACTTTTTTTTTCTTTCAAAAAAAAAACTTTTTCGATTTTTCTTTTGATAACTTTACATGCAAGAGATTGGAAAGATTATCAAAATAAACGGAACAATGGAAACAATTACCCAATTAATGATTCGAAAATTATTCTTACTTGATTAACTATTTAATTATCTAATTAATAGGAAAGAAAAAGGGAAAAATATATATAACAGTTAATTAGCATATTGAATAATAAATATTAACTATTATAATCATAAGCTTAAGGTAAGAATTGTGATATTTGGTAATGAAAGTGAAACTTTAATTGTTCAGGTTGATTAAGATGAAATTGTGATTGTGTGAAAATTAGAGGTGAGAGATTATTATTATTACGAAAAACAATGATAATGAAAAACAACAACAATTTAAATTGTTTAATTTTTAATTGTGTTATGAGAGAGAGAGAGAGAGAGCGAAGGAGAAATCGAGATAGAGAGAGATTGAGAGTGAGACAGAAAAGTGAAAGTTTCTCAGTGGTGTTTATATTAATAGAACCTCCTTCTTCCCCTACTTTTCAATGAAGTTTTCAGGTTATACCTGAGAGAGGCCATGATGATGTTGATGATAATAATGAAAGAGAGAAGGAAAAAAAGAAAGACAAGAAAGAGAGACAATTCTTGGAAAATGGCAACTTTGTTTATCATCCTAATTATCACTGACGATGGGAAGTAACTTGTTTTTTTATTTACTATCATTATTATTATGATAATATGTTTATACTTTTGAGATGAAATAACAACAATGATGATAATTATGACGATAATCTCACTCTTGGCTCACTCTTTGTGCCTCAGTCTCACTTATTTGCTACGATTTCAAATAAAAGGAGTTGATCTTTGTCGTTAGAAATCATTCGTTCTCAGTTCATTCCAACGATAACAAGTTCGCAAACTTTAAAGTTTTAATTTTCTTTTCTTTATACACTTTTGTGCTTTAAGTCACTTTCACTCTATCAAAAATGAAACTCATCTTTGTTGCTCTTTTGGTTCTTGCCGTTCTCGGTGCTGCTTTCCTTCCCTCAGCTGATGCTCAATATTACGGACGTGGTGGTTATGGTGGTGGACGAGGATACGGAGGCCGAGGTTATGGCGGTGGATACGGTGGTGGACGAGGCTGGGGAGGCCGAGGTGGATATGGTGGTGGCCGAGGATACGGAGGTCGAGGTGGTTACGGTGGAGGTTACGGTGGACGAGGAGGTTACTACGGTTAAACCAATGGTCACTTCTAAATTTTCACCTTCATCTTCACAACTTTGTTACCTGTTTTGTTTCCTCGTCTAAATCTATGCCAATACAAATATTACCGATTCTCTCTCTCTCTTCCTCTCTTCCTCTCTCTGTCTAGTATAGGGATTCAAAATTGATTCTAATTTGGTACAATCGAAAGTTTCAGAATTTTCCAATTTTCTGAATTGTTCAACCTCCGTTTTAACACTTTGATCGTCCACACAATTTCATATTCACTTTTATTTTTTACAATCAACCTGAATGAACAGATTCTCACCCAAACAAATAATTTTATTACATCTCATCGATAAATCTTAACACTTTTTTTGTAACAATTAAATATTGTAAAAATTTGTAACAATTGTCAACCATTCAAGTTATGGTTACAATTAGTTTGAAATAAAACAAAACAATCAACACAAATTATTTCCCTCTCAACTAGCCTTTATTATTTACTAATTAACGATCACAATTCAACATTCAACTTTGAACATTGGAGAAAAATTTTATTCTCACATTCTCAGTGACTTCAATATACTAACATTTCTACCTCCAAAATCCAAATCAGGTTGGTAACAAAAAAAACTCTTTCTCTTTCGAGCTAATTAACAAATAAAAAAAGTTGATTCTAAACTTGAGATTAGCTTTTGATTTTCTTTCGAAAGTTTCGAATTTCGCGGTTAAAAAGACAAGTGGCGCCATCTGTCGGCGAAGAATAACCAATAGAAAAGTGAATTAGGCTGAAAGAAAGTAAATAGAAAATGATTTTTTTGGTATTTTTTAAATCAGAAAGCAAATCAAACCTTCTCGGCTTCTCAATTATTTATTTTTTTTAACAATCAAATTGTGATAATATTTTGATAATCAATTAATTGGCTAATTTAATCGACCATTAAGGCACAAGAATGTTGTATCTTGAAGATTATCTTGAAGGTAAGTAAATATCTCACTCCCTCCCTCAGTCTTTCTTTTCCTTTCTCTCTTTCTTTCTTTCTCTCTCTTTCTCTCTCTCTTACTTTCTTACTTTCTTTCTCCTTTTATGCTCTTTGATTATCTCTTTTAATATAATGTTATCTTCATCCATCTCTCTTACTTTCCTTTCTGATGTTTCTTTCTCTTTGTATCTCTTTCTTTCTTTTCTACCCTCATCTCAGTGGTTGAACATCTTCCCATTGAACTTAAGAAACGATTCACCGAAATGAGAGAAATGGATCTAAATGTTCATAGTAAGTGTTTGAAATACTTTTCTTTTCGTTGTTTTTTTTCACTTCTCTTCGAATGAGATTTCCCTCCTCTTCGAACTTGGAATTCTATATATCGTAACTTTTTTTTCTACTTTTCTCTTTCTTTCTCTCTCTCTTCGTATCTTACATCATTCGTTTGCTCTTATTCTGTTTTCACATAATATTATTTTTCGTTCGTTCTATTATCAATTTTAGACGAAATGGAAGCCATCGAAGAGAAAGTTAAAGACTTTTTCAGTAATGCCAAGAAAATGAAAACAGATCAAAGAGATATCGAATTCAATAAACTCAAACAGGTAAGAAAACATGGAAACTTTTATTAAGTTTTATTGAAAACGAACATTTTTCTCTTTGTTTATTCAATAACAATCTTATTCCAATGTGATTTGTATGTAATATTTACTCAAGAAATTTTCTTTCTCAAGAAAAGAGTTTAAAATAATCTTTTCAACTACGAATCGATATTTTCTTGGAAACAAAATGAATTAATTATTAATCCTTTTAGCTAAATGAACTTTGATTTTTCGATTTCTATTATTATTCTTTTTCTCAGGAATATGAAAAAACCGCTGAAGAAGCAGAAGAAAAAGTTGAACTTGCTAATCAGATTTACGATCTCGTGGAAAAATATTTAAAAAGATTAGACTCCGAACTACAAAAGTTTAAGATGGAATTGGAAGCAGATAATTCTGGAATAACGGAAATCCTCGAGAGAAGTAAATGTTTAAACTTTTTCTTCTTTTCCATTCCAATAAATCCTTATCCATATCTTGAAGCGAAATTTCCTCCAAACTATAACCATAATATTGACTCTTCTAAATCAATAATGTTCTTTTATATATAAAATAAGTTTACATTTATAATTTTATTCTCTTTTCTCTCTATTAACTTTCATAGGATCTCTTGAGTTGGATAATCCACCAAATTCAAATGTAAATAATGTTAGAGAAAAAAGGAAACATTCACATAATGACTCCGTTCAAGGAGTTCCAAATTCAGGTAAGAGATTCATTGTAAATTCAGATCATTTTTTATCCTCTCCATTCATATTGACATATTGGATAAAACGAAGACACAATTAACTTAAATTTCTCTCTCTCTCTCTCTCTGTATGACGTTAGCACGAAGCGGTGATACATCTTGTTCTGGTTCTAATCACGGGGTTCCAAATAATCTTAACAATTGGGCAAATCAAGCAACTTTTGCAAACTCATTATCAAATTTGGTCAATAATTCCAATACGGTTCCTAATGGTAATCCATTATTGGCCAATAGTTTAACATCACCTCATTCACCCTCATTGTAAGTAAATCATAATAGTATTAGAATCGATTTCTAATATCAAACTTTTCGTTTCAAGTTAACCATACAGCCACAGAAATTGAGTTTGGAACAAAAATTAAATCACTCGCGCACACAATCAATTCAATCGTTAATCTATGAATTGATAAGATTGAAAAACATTGGGTTTTTGATAAGATAATCAAGTTAATCACAATTTAATCTCTCTATGCGCGAATTGAAATAATTTTTGTTCCAAACTCAATTTCTGTGGCTGTATAGACGATAATTAATTTAAATCTGATATTGAATCTACTTTTTTTTACCCCATCTCCAGTTATAATTTAGGTGCTGGTAGTACGGCTATTGCTGCTGCGGCCTCACAAGCCATCGCGGCCACGCAGCAGGTAATAATTATGAAAATAATAATAATAATGTTAACTTTTGTTATGAAGAAAAAAAAATTCCCTCAAAACAAAATTTATATATAATTCTCATTATATACCTTTGAATATTTGTCCATCCTATTCAAATATTATTTAAACGTTTATGGATTGAAAATTTTACCACTTCAGATGCAACAAGGAAGACGAACTGCCAGTCTTAAAGCGAGCTACGAAGCGATTAACGCCGTTGGCTTACAAAATATTAGTTGTGATTTTAATTCTATACGGGAAGGATCAATACCGTCTTTCAATCCACAAGGAACCGGTCCATTTGCCGCTGCAGCGGCAGCAGCGGTCGCGGCTGCAGGCGGAGGTGTTCCAGTGACTGTACCAGGTAATTTATTACCTACGGGTAGTGTAGGAGAGGGATCTTCAACAGGAATGTTCAAAGTAACCAAACGAAGTCGTACCTCTAGTCAATATCAAGATACAGGTTAGTCTACCGCTCGAATGGTCAAAATTATTTAATTTATTTCCTAATTTGAAGACGAAAACACGGAAACATTATTTCTAATTTAAATTTCTTTCTCTAGATGAATCATCAGAGACGATGACTGTTGATGAAAGGGGAAGCACCGAAAATTGGACCTGTGATCCCGATGAACCTCGTTATTGTCTTTGTAATCAAATTTCTTATGGTTCAATGGTTGCCTGTGATAATGAAGAGGTGAAAATCATAATTATAATAATAATTAACAAAATTCATTAACCTGAAAAACTTTCACCAAAGTTAACAACTTATATTTTGATTTATTTTTTTTTTGTTCAATTTCAGTGTCAATTTGAATGGTTCCATTATGGTTGTGTTGGTATAACTCAACCTCCAAAAGGAAAATGGTTCTGTCCACCTTGTACAGTTCAAATGAAAAGGAAAGCCAGAAAAGAGAAGGTAAGAATCGTCGACTACCGAAAGTATTTACCGCAAAAACAAAAGTTCAAAAAACTGGATTCGAAACATGAAGATAAACAAATTCGATACAAATGTCAAGTTCTACCCCGATTTTCAAATTGAACATTTCAGACAAATTCTAACATCAAGTGATAACAATTTCATCAATATTCAGCATTTTTCTAACATAAATATTTTTCTTTTCTTCAACAACCTTTCAGACTCAGTCCACGTCGTTTTCATCCACTTCTCCTGTTGATACACAAACAAATTAAACAAAACTCATTAATCAACTACGTCAACTCTGTGTGTGTATATGTGTATGTGTGCGTGTGTGTTTATGTTCAGATCACTAAGGAATTGAATAACCCTCATCATCAACAACCTGGATCAACATGGAGATGTTTTCGAGGCCGTTTAAAGTTTGTGTTCTCTATTGAAAAAACAAAACAAAGGACATTGGTGGTGGGATGAAAAAGAGACACTTAAAAACATCATTGAAGTGGAAACAAATTATTATATTTTCTTTGTTCTGTATGGTGGTAAATTTGGACCTTTCCTTTGTGACAACAATGTACGAAACAAAGGAAATTTCAAGGGGAAAAGATAAAGATAAAGATGTAAAGAGTGAGAGAAAGAGGAAAAGATTATTTATAACAAAAATATAGCAAAAAAAAGAGAGAGAAACTAAATGGATCAAATTGCCCTGGATAACCGGACAATTATTAATTCTGATTATTAGTTCACGAATTGGGATTTAACAAATCAGAATATCATCTGATCGAACCAAACCTGGACATGGAGAGTAAATGACCATTGGGAAGACATGGATTCGACAGGAAAGAGAGACATCACAAGAAGATAATTTTCATCCATGGTAAATGGGTGTAAATCGGTGAACACATGAGTCCAGTTTTTCATCGTCATAATGATTGAGAGAAAAGGATTTTGTTTGAAGTGAGAAGGCAAAGTGCTGGTGACAAATTTCTTCATTTGTTTCAAGTTCTACAGAAGAAAAAAAAAGATGTCCTTTTCTCCGATTCTCTTTTCTTTTGTTAACACAAATGGATTGTAAAATTCGTGATAATCTACGCATACCATTGGTAATTTTCCTTCTCGTTGGATTGGTTTAAATATAAATAACATCAGCTGATTCATCAGAATCGGGAGAAGCTATACCACCGTATTCTTCGAAATCATCATCATCATTTCCTCCTTCACGATCATCATCCGATTCATCTGATTCGTCATCGTCATCATCTGATTCATCATCGGTATCGTCAGGATTTATTTCCATGCCCAATTCAAGCTCAAGATCATCCGATCCATCATCTGGTGCAATTTCATCAGTATTATCGTGGTCAAGTTCACCATCATCTGAATCATCTTCAATATCTTCACCTTCTTCTTCCTCTTCTTCAGCTTCCTCATCATCTTCCTCTTTACATCGACCCACCTCGTAAAGTCTACAAGCAGTTTCCGAACTACCAAGAGTCATAATAGCCTCTCGCTGATATTCAACAACGGCGACAAAATTATCTCCTGGATCAACGGCAAGATCACATATATTTTTCTTAACATCAATGGTAACAATGTTGGAATAATCTGTGGCATCGAAAGTACGGAAAGATGATCCATAAGGACTTCGCTGGGTCTCATCTTCTTCAGGACCTTCTTCTTCAAACATGGCTGTGAAAATAGAAAACAAAACGAAAGAAAAAAAAACAAAAACAATTCATCAATTAACGAGTCGTTTGTTTTCTTGTGTCTGTAGATATTGCATCTTACAAAAGTTGAATCTCAATAACTGATGATTCTGTTTTTTTTGTTCGAGAGGAAATTTTCATGTTTTCCTTTCAATTTTTTTTTGATAACATATTTAGAGCAAATCAAATGTGAAAATTATAAATAAATGTAAAAAAATGAATACAACAATTAACTTACCTCCATAAATTACATCGCCAGTTTTATTGAATTTAATTCTACACTGGTCAAGATCGGGAACCGTTTTAACCAAATGATAACTTCTAATATCCCAAACCTCAGAATTGGAAATAATCTCCCAACCATTTGGATGGAAAACACCGTTAATTGATTGATTAAATTTATCAAATTTATGAACAGGAGAAGTTGACCTTACATCCCATAGAACACCATCATTTAGGATTAGTTCATCGGTTTGATTAAATGTAGCTCGATTTCGCGTATAATTGTTGGATAAATTTTCATCTTCAAAAGTGTGAATCTTAACACCAGTGGCAAGATCATAAAGATTAGCAGCAAAATTGAATGTACCTAGAATTTTATCTTGAACCGATTTACTAAATTCACAGTAATTATCTTCAGGAAAATCTAATCGCTTATCGAAAACATCGGTAAACCTCCATAAAGCTGAGAGTGGATTTCTCAGAGACATGGAACCAGTGAGTATTAGTTTACCATCTCGAGAAGGTTCAATAAAAGTCAAATCTGAATCATGACAAGAATAAGTTGCTTCCAATGTACCAGGATGTAAATTGAAAACTGTAAGATCACCGGTAACGGTACCAAGGAATAAAAATTGATCAACATATGAGAAGGCACAAGAAGTGAAACCCGATCCACCTTCGACATCTCTATAAGTTCGAACTGGTCTAAAACGACTGTAGATAAATTTACGATCAAATTTGTTACCATACATTCCACCAAATCGAGGTGCAATCTCACGTTTCTGACAACGAAGGGAAATGTTCAATGGTGCGGTTGCACGATTAAGTGGCTCGGGACAACGATGAGGTACAAAAAGGTCAAAAGGTGGACAAGTTACAACAGGATTTTTACAATTAGCGTGTTGTTTTCTTAAATAATCTGTAACAATTGAATTTAGAGTAACTGAAGGTATTGGTTGATGATGATGTGATTCACCGAGTCGCTTCATTACCGGTGAGGGTTGATAGGCACCTTGTTGAGGTTTTTGACGAACCGGATTACGAGATGATAGAGATAAATTTTTGGTGCTATTGGTTGATGGACGATTAATTTTTACTGATATACTGTTTGATGATGATTGAGCTAATGTTGATTTGTTACTTGATGGTGATGCGTATGTTGTTGGAGTTGTGATTATATTATTACCCTTATTGTTATTATTATTGTTATTATTATGAGTCCCACAAGTTGATGTAGATGGAGTTGAAAAGGAAGAGGAATGTGATGAATTAGCTTTGATATTAGGATTAGGATTAGGATTAGTATTATTAGAATTATTGATTGTAAGATTGTTAGTGTTTGTTGTGGTTGTTGTTGTTGTTGTTGTTGACGAGAAGGAAGTTGATGGATGAGCCAATGATGATGTTGAAGGTGTCACAGAGGAAGAGGAAGTGATGGCTCGAGGTGTTTTTGATGAAAGAGGAGAAGTGGCAAAAATTGATGATCGACTTGGTGTTGTTAAAGCAGGAGTGGGTAGACTAGCTTCTTGGATTAGCTGATTAGCGGTTTTGGTAAGACCTTTACTGATTAAATGTTGATGAATTAATTGTAACAGCTCTTTCTCATTGTAAATAATTCGGGTTTGGGCAACAACTTCAGCTTTATGAACATTGGCCAGGGAGGCATCGATATTTGCAGATATTGGAGCACCGGTAACACTTTCAATTAATTGGATACAATATTTACAAAATTTAACATGTTCAGCTCTCTTATCCTGTAAAATGGGTTCTTTCATTAAATTTTGAAGTTGACCAGAAGTGAATAAAGTTAATTTAGATATTATTTGTTTAACTGTTTCACTACGAGCCAAACCACATAGAGCTTTACAGGCAAGTGCACGGATACAATCAGCATCGGTAATTGGTGTTTTAATTGTTAAAAGGTTTAATAAAATCATTATCCCATTGTTGGATCTTATAACGGTCCACATTTTGTTTAGTACATCCTCACCGGTACGAGTTGATCGTTTCTTTGAACTACCAAAACAAAGTCGGGCAATTGTATCACCAATCCTATTACCTGGACCACAAACACAATTAATAATTACATGTAAGGCGGATTTTTTTACTTCAGCATCAATCATTGCGCCGGAAAAATCTGATTCAGCAGCGGCTGCTAAGATAACACTGAATAAATAATAATAATCATCATAGAGAAAAACAATTAGTAATTATCGATTTAAAGTCATTTTTAACAATTTTGAATGATGAAAAAAAGTATTCATATGTTTTACCTGATAATTGGTACATTTCTTTCATCTGATAAAGTGATATTTTCTGTTAAAGCTTCTTGAAATTTATGTGTAACTGAACAGACAACTAGAACATCAAGAGCACTTTTTATAGTCTCAGATTTACCAGTGTAAACCCAATCAGATGAATTGCTAATTAAAGAGATTAACAGTTTAAGACCACCAAGTTTTAAAAGATCATCAACAGGTTTCCAATTACTTTGATAAGGCATCATTTCGAGTAAACTTTCAACATATTCGTGAATTGTATCACTAGTATAATGAGCAGCCTTATAAGAGGGCATGTTATTACTTGAATGACTTTTTACACTTGATTGAGATGAATTTGAACCTGGTAAAGGAGATCGACGGATATTTTCAACTTCGATGACAAGATGAGCTTCAAAGTAACGTTTCAATGCAAGGCAAACTTGCCGAGCAGTTTGACGTTTAGTGAAAAGCTCATCATCAGTTGAATTGACTAAATCAGAAAAAATATCTAGTAAATATATCTGAGAAAGGGAGAAAAAGAGAAAATAGAAAACAGTTAGACAATTAAATCAAAATGGACAAGATGAAGAAATTGTAATGTTGCCCTTTTTCGTGATACAATATGAAACATACCACATTGAGTAACTTTCGAAGTCCATCTGATTGGTCAAATAGGTCTAAAATAATTCGAAAGGCAAAAGTTAGACCGAAAAACATTGTCGCGTGACATCGACTCGAATCATGAGAATATTCCATTAACCAGAGAGCATAAGAAACCAGATCAGCAAGAATTTGACGAGGAAGAACACAAATCTGACGAAAAGAAAAACGAAATCAACACAAAAGAAGAAGAAGAAAAAATATAAGAAAAACGATAATCATAGAAAGATGATGATGATGATGGATGAAACTTTGGAAAGACATGAATGTAATCAATCAAATAATGATGAGATTAAAATGTGAAAGGAGTTAAAGATGAAGATGTATAAAGATGTATATACCTTTTCCATAGCATCTTCATTGTAGCCTAGATAATAAAGACAAATCGAAACACCGGTGGCCGCAACTGAGGGTCGGTAAACTTGTAATAGTAATTCAAGGCCACCACCATTGAGAAACTCTATGGCAAATTTTTTATGGCAAAGTAACGATGATAAATATTTAAGAGCTTCAAAGGCAACCCTTACATCTCGATTTTTGTCCAAATTAATATAATGCTTGATAATTGATAGAGCATCATTGGCAAACACATGGACTAATATTTCTTGATAATCTCCAAGGGGAGTTAAATATTGAAAAATGAATCTTTGTTGCATTTCAGGAGTTAATGGATACATTTGAAATGATCCAATCATATAAGGTTCAATATCGGCCCAGCTACTATTTGAACATTCACTGTTTACCGTTGAGGGTGACATTATATTCAATGGTGATGAGACACGACGACGTTTTAAAGATGATGGTGATTTAACTGTTCCCTCATGTCCACGTTTAATTGTTTTAAACTGTTCTCTAACAGTAATACCACTGCTAGTGCTACTATTACCACCACCCACAGTACTCCCGGCACCAGCAAGTTTAACACCTCCAAAACCATTTGCCTCATTACTTTTATTTGATTTATTACTACCATAGCTGGTATTTAGTGAATTAGATGATTCATCGTTCTCATTATTTCCAATTGATTCACGTTTACTACTTTCAGTTCGAAGTTCATTTAATCTCTGTAACATGATGGGTACCAATTGCATGTTAGCATCTTTATTTTCAACAGCAATATCTTGAACATCTAAAGCTGCAGCAAGTAGACCAGTAGCATAAGATTTCAATGGTTCTTTAGCATGTCTAACCAGATCATATAACTTAGTGACTAAACCTTCCTAAAAGAAAATGGAAGAAAAAAAAACAATTAGATTAATCATAGATTTAAAATCAAGAGTAAAATAAATTATACATTTTCTTTGAAAACAACTGAAGTGTCCAGGCCAGGAAGGATATCGAGCACGAGCCGACAAGCATGTGTTTGAAGTTCAATGTCGTCTCTGTGCATGAGATAATTATTGACCAACTAAGAGTAGAAAGTAAATTTGAGATTTAAAAGACAATTAGTTATATAATAATAATGTAAAATGTAAATAACATTATTGTTGAAGATTTAAAACGAATCAAGGATAATAGGAGAGAGAGAAAAACGTTGTAAAGAGAGAGAGAGAGAGAGAGAGAGAGAGAGAGAGAGAGAGAGAGAGAGAGAGAGAGAGAGAGAGAGTTTAAGTCTCGAACCTTATTCATAAATTCATCATTTTTGAATAGATTTTTCAACACCAAACCAAGGGCACAGTCTGGTCTTGCTCTACATGGATGACGATCATCAAATGGATCAGGATCAGTCTTCAAATAGGCTTCGGTACATTCTTCAATTATCTCCGACATTCTATGAATTTGCAAAAGAGAAGAAGAGTAAGAAAAAAAGAAAACGTGAAAATCACATTATCATAAACATAGAAAAGATAAAGGGGAGAACACATGAGTCAACCGGTAACCCGAACAGTAATTTGAATAACAATAAGATAAATCTACCATTTAAAAACAACTAAATTAAACCATTTCTTCCCCCCAATACACAGCAATTAAATAGGTAACAAAGGTAGAAAAAAAAGATTAGAATAGAAAATTAAACAAATAAGAAAAAAAAAGAAAGAGAAATTGTTACCTTTTAATGATACCAACCGGACTACCATTCGTATTGTTACCAAGATAATCATGTTCCCATTGTTCAAGAAGCTGATTAATAGCTGCATTACTCTCAACGAGAGTCATAATATTTGATTAATTGTCGATGAGATAAAATTAAATAATAATAATAAATTTAAACTAATTAATTAAAGGAACAATAAAAAGAAACCAACAAAAAAAATCTAAACGAATCCTAATAAACCGAAAATCTTCATGTAACAATTAGATGTTTATTCTATCACCAGGTGACGCTTATAGTCACTGAAAAAAGCGCGAACTTTGAATGTGTTACCATAATTGGAAGAGAAAAAGAGAAGGCGCCAAATTCAAATGTTTCGATTGATTGAATTTGAAAATTGAAATAATAATAAAATTAATTTCTTTTGATGAAAGAATATTTTGTTTTGCTTTAAATATTAAATTTATCGAGTTGTTTTATTCACAATAAGATTCTAATCGTTTGGTATTGTGATTAATTGTAAGAATATAAAGTTTTCTGATGAATGAAAACAAAAAAGTTGATCAATCATTTCAATTGTTGTAGTTGTTGTGATCTTAAAATAAAATGATTGAGATCTAATTAGTTTTAGTGTTGATAGTTTATCGATTTGATTATTTGCTATGTATTTGGATATAATAAAGGTAAATGTTATTGATTGGATTCCATGAAAATTGAAAGGACATTTTATTTTATTTTCTTCCTCTTCTTCTATTAGATTTTCTCACTCAATCAAATGGGAAAAAAAGTTTAATCGATTTACAATTGTTACATTTATGAACATTGACAATAACGGAAAGGAGAAAAAAATGAATTAACTAACTGTGATTAAGATGCAACATATCATATAATAATTGAATGATTATCAATCTTTAAGATGTGTTCAATGGTTGGATAATATTTATTTGGAATTTCAATGAATAAAAATACTTTTTTTTTCTTCATCTTCTTCATCATCAATTTAATCTCATCTTTACCAAAAACTCTACATGAGATTCCCAATGAATTGAACATTTGTCATGAATCATTACTTACATTTCATTGTTATTGGAATCAGCGAGATACAAATAACAATCAGAGAAAAACTTTTACCATCTCTTGATGTTTAAAATGTTCAAACTCGAATGTTGTTGTTGTTGTTGTTATTCAATCGATAAGAGATAAAACTCTGATTTTTAACAATTTTTCTTTCTCTCTTTATACTTATTCTTGTCGAACTTGTTGTCTTTTAGAACTTCATTTATTCGTTTCGATTTCTTTCTCTTATCAATTGAATCTTGAAACCATGAAATGAACTTTTCTCTCTATTCTTTCCAAACTCTTGAATCTTCATATCTTCGTCGATCAGGTTAGTCTTAGCATTTAGAACTTTTTTTCTTCTCTTTCTCTGTCTCTTTCTCTTTCACAATAATACAATATATTAAAATACCCATTTTGTTTTCTTTTTTTTCTTCTATCTTCCAGCATTCTTACAATTCTGGTAACGATTCTCATCATTCAATGATGCTGATGATGCTCAAAAAAGATAACCTGAAAATAGTGAAAAGAAACTAATAAAATCCAAGAAGAAGGAGAAGAAGAAGAAGAAAAAAATAAAAACAAAAAGTTCCAAGCGAAAAAAAAATATAAAAAGAAGATAAAATTTAAACCAGATTATCAGATTACAGAATTTATTATTATTTCATTTCATCGAATCCTCTTAATCTTCATTCAGATTTTTAATCTCACCATCATCATGAGAGAAATACATATAAATAGTGAAAAGAAGAGAGATAGAAAATTGAACCAGAGATTGGAAATGAATCTGAGAATTAACGAAAAGAAAAAGAAATGGAAAGTTTTCTATTCAACTGTACAAAAAAAAGTTCGAAAAAACAAAAGTTCTAACTCGAATGATAATAATATACATATTCGAGGTACTATTTAAAATTAGGTCAAAACTGTTGCTTTGTATTATAAACCATATGCTCAGAGTAGATGGAAAACTATTTCCATTTATAATTAAACTAATTAACAGGAAATAATTAAAATAAGTAAATTAACCTTTAGTGCTTCATTTCAAATTATCATAATTAGTTTCATGATTAAGATAAATTCAAGTTTCAATTTCAAATTGTAATTAAATATTGAGGGAAAAAAATTTCTCTTGGTATTAATATCCCTTCAAAAACAATGTATATTGTCAATTGGATCTCATTATCAACTGGAAAGAGGATAAAGTTAACTAACTGTAACTAACTGTTACCTGTATTTATGTAGACATTATCATGAATCAGTCTCTGTGATTAACTATTTACTAAAAGAATAAGAGAAAACTAAAATTCTGAATGAAGAATATAATATCTAAGGTGAACACGCAAGAGAATTGAATAATAAGAGGGAAAGAAAATTAAGTAAAGTTCTAAACATTTATCTATTATCATGGAATTCATTTCATGTTGATTTTTAATCTTTCTCATTATAATATAATGTTCTAGTAACAATTAACTTGTTCCTCCTTTTTCTTAATTACATGATAATTAATTATATGGAACTTGAAAAGTTAGAGTCAATTGAATGTGACACAAAGCGTTGACTTTGCTCATTTGATTGACCAGAACTTATCAATAGAATTGAATATTATCAGAATCATTGTGATGATTTCCATCTTAATTTTCCATAATCATATGAAATGTTATCCTCACTTGAAGATAAATAAATGATGCAAAGATGAACCATGATGAAAATGACAAGGAAAGAGAGAGAGAGAGAGAGGAAAATATCTATAATATTGATGTGAATATTATCTTAGACCTTTTTTCACTCTACGAAAATTACTCCATGAAGATGATGTTGATTGCGTGATAACTTGAAACTATTCAAGTTTCATCCTCAGTATTTTATCCTCATCTTTGGTCTCTCTCTTTTCCTCTCCTCATGTCATGCTCTCTTTATCATCTTTGAATTTTTTCTTCATACTTCATTCGTCATCTTCCTCTCTCTCTCCTCCAATTCAGTTGTTATCATTAATACGACTACTGTTACATCGATTCCATGATGAAACTTGATGTCAAAAGTTTTCTCATTCTTTTTTCTCCTCATCTTCTTTATCAATCAGTCTTATAGTGATTCATTTATCATCCTATCCAATTGGTCAGTTTTTTCCTCTTCTCTCTTCCTATTTCTCCCTCATGATCATCATCCCTATCTGTCCGAACACAGAACTACGAAAAGTGTATGAACTTCGTACCCTCTCTCTCTCTCTCTTCTTTATTTTATTTTTCATTTATTCTTTCCAGCTTTTTTACTAGTTCATAGGCACTGATGATAACGATAATGATGATGATCTCAACAATTCAACAGAATTTCTTATCATTATCATTATCATTAGAATCATCATCTCATCCAGAACTTTTATCTTTCCCTCTACTTTTTTTTGTCTCATATATTTTTCCTCGAATCTATTTCTTGACCATCATTACACTTAAATTAGTTTCTTATACTTTCTCATATCCTTTTCCCTTTTTCTCATTCTTAATACCTGAGGCTTTGCTATTATATATTGTATTTTGTAAGGCAACTTATTTCTTGTTATTATCATTTGGTGGTAACTCTTGCACTAACTGATTATATACAATTTGCTCTGACAAATACTGATTGATTGGATTCAAGGAAAGAACAACAACAACAACAATAACAACAACGCAACAGCAAAAAAAAAAATAACTTTCACTCCCTGAAGACAACAACATCATCCTGATCATCATCAACCATATATAATACAACAGAGTCAACATCAAAATCTTAAGCCTTTTATCAAGTCAATAACATCTAATAATAGCTAATGAAAGCAATTGAATGTCTTGATAATAATAACCTACAATTAGCTGATAATTATCATCTATTAATATCGTTTGGTGACAGGTAACGATAACAGGACATTAATATTATCCAGGTGAGAAAAAAGTTCAGCGATAAACTAAACAAAGCTCTAAAGTAATCACATAAGCCAAAGGGTTACCTGGTGGAGTTTAAAATGAAAAATAAGAATCAATCATGATATTATATCATTTACACAATTCTGCCCATTTAAATGTTATTATCATGACAAACATATTTCTAGCTGAATTTCTTAGTAAAAGATTGAACTTGTCTTGAATTTACTCTGTAAATTATGTACAGTTTAACTAAATGGTACAGAAAAGAAAAATTTTATCTGCTGTTGTCATGATGTACATTCATGCACATGATGAAACTACACTTGAAAAATAAAATGATGAACTTGCTGTTATGATAACAATTTAATTTGCCATTGAAATGAGTTTCCGGTTCCTGGAATGCTAACAACTTCAACTAATATAATGATATAGCCACAATCATAATAATAATAAAGTGATAATCATAATAATATAATCTACCTTGTAGATAACAACATAATCACCAATTGACTATTAGAGGTGAAAGTAAATGTATAAGATTGACAAATAATAATAATAAAACCACCACCTTATATATTGAACAAGGAAAAGTAAATTATTTCCAAAAACTGGATGGAAAATGCTAGGATAAGGAGGTTGTTTCAAAGCCCCGGAGGGTTTTTTACTCGATAAGTGGAAAGAAACAGAGAGAGAGAGAGAGAGAGAGAAAGAGAGAGAGAGAGAGAGAGAGAGAGACAGACAGACAGACAGACAGAGGAAAAAGATTCGTGAAAATAAATTTGATAACGATACACACAAACTCGAGGAGTGGGAATGTGTTAGTAAAGATGAAGATGAAAATGAAAATTAGAAAATAGCTTAAGCCTTGAAGGTAAAAGTAAATTCAGTTTTCTACCCCTTCTCTTCCTCTCTCTCTCTCTCTCTCTCTCACTTTAGTTTGTAAAACTTATGAGTATTAGATGGAAGATGAAATTTCTTCACCGCCCATTATCACCTAAATATCTCTTCCCTTCCCATAAGCGTGACATGAATTCAGAAGGAATAAGAAAAAAAAAGCAAAGTAGCATCAAACTTGTAATTTCAATGAGGAAGCAAAAGTAATAGATAAAAACAACATTCACCCTGAACCCTTGGAACTACATCTATGAACCGATTTAATAGTAAATACATTATTTTTATTACTATCTTTTCGCCTTCTTTTTCATGTTGTTGTTATTATTGTTGAAGTGATAATTTTACCACAAATAACAACCTAAACATGATATAAAGATATCAAAACTTACAATGTAATGA